TCAAACAAAAAGGTATCAAGTATTCTGTATGTCATTACATTTGACGAGATGACTAGTTCTCCATTGAAATATGACCAGCATAATTCAGATTGCACTGACACTATCAGGTCAATGCTTGAACTTAAGCCTTAAATATGCGGTCTAGTTCTCTATTAATATGATTTTACGACCATATCCTATTATTTTGTCATGATTACAAAAAAGTGTATGAAAATATTCCGTAACGATATTTGTGTTGAAACAGTTTGGTTTCTCATGATCATGAACAATACGATAATATATTGTCTTGATCCATAGCAAATTATGACTTACAAGAACCTAGTTTGAAGCAAAGCGGAGTTATGCTTCCCTTTTTGGGCCTGTCTGTGTGTACGTATCCTCTGTCGTCTTTAGATTAGATGTCATAGTGTAGACCCGTGAAGATCCTGGGTAGAATAGCTCTGACGCAACCCATGCTTACCATAAAAGGCGACTATATGCTTGTCGTAAGAGGCGACTAACGGGATCGGGTTGTCAGGTTCGCTGACTTGGCTGATGCATGTCATCGTATCCCAATTGCGTGGATTGATGCTCATGATGTCAGTCGTTGGATCATATGCCGTCATATAGGTGGAATATTGCTGAGTGCGGCGTTAAACAACAAACAAACAAAGATGTCAGAGTGAAAACTCAATTTCCGTGTTTAATTATAAGTTATTTTTAGTTTCAAATTAAAGAAATCTGGTCTCACAATACTTTTATTGGTGTACGATTAAAAGTGGCAAAATTTGCTTTTTCTTCCGCACAACACTTTGCGAGGCGATTTTTCAAACCAATGTTATATTTGCTAAAAATAACTTTTACACCTCAAAAATTTAAAATTCTACATCTCTGAGTCATATATTAGTGAGTGAGCTGGGTTTAACGCCGCTTTTAGCAGTATTCCAGTTAAATCGTGGCGTGTCAGCTTAATGTAGGAGGAAAGCCTGAAGTGATGAAGGCCTCTGACGTTAACCACTTCGGTGGTTATAGTTAGAGGTAGACGCAGTGCTGCGCGACCGCAATTAGCGCGCAAAGTTCACTTTTACTGCGTCAGAAAAATAACTCGGCGTCCAGGGGTTAATTTAGAACATCACATAATTTATTTAAGTAAAGTAAGGAAAGCACGGTAGCGTGCAAAGAACCGAGCGTGCAAAGAACCGAGCCCTGGCCAAGCAAAGCAATAGTGGATAATGAAAAAATGTTTAATTGCGGTTTTAAAATATAAACTAGATCATGAAAGAGATTGGTTCATCATAACATTTTCATTTCTCCTTTTGCTCTGGTTTAAATCAAGTTGATGTGTTGAGCGCAAATATACCTTTCACGGTCGCCCTAAAACTCAAATTCCATACGACAATAATTACTAATGAGCGACAAAACCATTTCCATAAGAAATATGTACCGCTACAACAAACAATCAGCCAGATTACTAGCCTTGCTCCAAGGCTGTACTGAAAGAGAAGTCCATCGATGTGTGGTAACTATATCCTAATTGGCAAATCTAGATATGTGGACAGTCTCTTTTAAGGAAATCTTGTTATTATTATTTACATAAACTTGAACATATGATTTTAACTAATAATTATTGTCTTCTTGTAGAAATGGATTGTTTCTGCATTATTAACATCCACGTAAATTTTAGGGGTAAGACATTAAGGCAACAAGTAGGCATCCCCATGGGCATGTGGTTCCCTTCTATCGGATCTGGGGCGGTCGGGTAGCCTAGTGGTTAAAGCGTTCGCTCGTCACGCCGAAAATCCGGGTTCGATTCCCGACATGGGTACAATGTGTGAAGCCCATTTCTGGTGTCCCCCGCCGTGATATTGCTGGAATATTGCTAAAAGCGGCGTAAAACCAAACTCACTCACTCACTATCGGATCTTTTCTTTATGCATATGAATCGGTATTTCTGCTCGGATTGGCAAAGTCAAAACTAGGTTATTTGGCCAATAAATTTAACTTAAACTTCAGGTATATCGACGATCTGATATCATTTAATAATAAAATAGTTGATTGCCGAATCATAAAATAACACCATGTCTCAAAAGAAATCATCTGATTCTTTAAAAACAAATAAACGTCATTTCGATTCAATATTATCTTATGAAGAAGCTTCATCTGTGATTGAAGATTCTTGGCCACAGTTCATTTTCATCGCATCTGTTGATGGCAATCCTTTAAGATTAAATCCTTTTGCTATCTCGAAAGGAATTGAAAATGTCCTGTGGAGAGGTAACCAATGTTACACGTCCTTGTTCTGTTTCCATCCTTGGCGAATATGCTCAATATGAGACAATAGTCTGTTATACAGCAGTTTGTTAACACCCAGGTTGTTGTTTTGGTGCATATGACACTGAATTCTAGAAGAGGTATTGTCAGAGACAGCGCTCTCTGCCTTTCTGACATGACAGAAGAAGAGATTGCTGCTGAATTGAAACATTATCCAAACCCATACTTATCTTTTCACGTTTTGTCTTGGGTGGACGCTGGTGTTCTTCTTCTTCTTCTTCGTCTTCTTCTCCTCTCCCTCCTCCAACGGGGTGGGCGCGTCAACCTTCATGGCATCCTCCCCCTTCCCCTCCTCCTGGGGTGATTGAAGTCGCTGACGTTTTGTCGGGGGATGGGTTGAGAGGGTTCCGTCCTGTTTTCTTTTGCCTAGACGTGCCGTTGTCCCCTTGGTTCTTCTTCTTCTTGGGTTTTTCAGCCAGAGTCGTCAACCAGACACACACATCGCTGAGCTGAGCGCGGTGGGGCCTTGAAACACTTTCTAGCGGCTGGGACCGTAACCTTCTTGTCTCCATGGACAGTGTTTGCATAACTCCTTTGTCGCTTGACCGATGCATCGTCCACATCCTAACTGCACCACGCACAAATTTGGGATGTGCTCCCCTGTGTCTTGCCTACATTCAAAATCATAGAAGACGTATTTGACGTTGTCTCGTCGGTTTTGGTTGTAGCATTCTTCCTCTTCCCCCTCCTCTTCATCGTGGGCTTCATGGAGGGGAGTCATGAAGCAGCGATGGTCTGGGGTCACGGGTTCTCGACACACTAAGCATGGACGTCCTACATCTGAGCACTCGTAGTGAGCCATGGGGGTCTCCAAGACGCGGACAAGCTGAAAACAGGTCGCGCACCTGTGAATCGATTGACAGCCGCTGGGTTTTCCCTCTGACGGTCACTGGAGATGTTGGGTGTAACAGTGTTGATTTGGGAACCATCGTTGACATGTCAAGCAAGGGATCCCGTGCTCTTCCTTGGGCCCGCAATAGCCAGAGTGGAGGCAGCGGTGGCAGCGGTATTGCTTGGTGCAGGGATGTTTTTCGGGATGTTCATAACGTTAGTCGCAGAGTTCGTAGTGATGGTTAGACGCATAAAAGGCTGGCATGGAAGTGATCGTAGTGGTGATCATGATGGAATAAATGCAGCACGGTGGCGTTAGGTGGAGCCTCATCACACTTGTACATCAGTCTCCGGTCCACCTCTTGACTAGACTTTCAGTTGATAGTTGATTTCGGCCAAGGCACCTTCCACGCATGCTAGGTCTTCCAGGCCCTGACTAATCGTATGAAGATCTTTGAATATCAAATCCTGTATGTAATCAGGAAAGGCTTTCATTCTAGCATCCAAATCTCCTGCAATAAACAAGTGTTTATTGGGATGGCCGGTAACTGTTGTGAGCAAGTATTCCCGTAACACTGACATACCATCAGTTTCACTTTTTATGTACTACTAGTATTGGAGAAAATATTCGGAGAAATGTTTTGAAATATACTTTGCTGTGCAACCCATGCTTGCTGTAAAAGGGTGACTATGCTTGTCGTAAAAGACGACTAACGGGATCGGTTGGTCAGGCTCGCAGACTTGGTTGATGCATGTCATCGATCCCAATTGCGTGGATCGATGCTCATGATGTCAATCACTAGATTGTCAGGTCAGACTCGATTATTTACAGACCGCCGTCATATAGCTTGACTATTGCTGAGTGCGGCGTTAAACAACAAACAAACAAACAAACAAATCCCAGTGATAAAACCCTAGTTCTATGGCTAAAGAACATTTGCCTTTGCAGCAGCTGCACTCTTCCACTCAATCCTGTTTCAAGACCTCAAAACCAATATCTACACACTTGACTGCTAATCAATTTTATATTTTTAACTTTTCTATGACTATTCTATTAATTTTAATGTAGGTCTGTGAGCATACATTCGTTGGTGAATATGGTCCATTTAACATAGACATGGACTGGATGTATGGAGCATAGCACAACCACTCCCGCCCTACACACACACCACCCCCCCCCCCCCACATCTTTAAAATTTATATAATCTGTCAAATCACTTCAGGCAATTCAGGTGTTCAAATTAATTATTGACAATGTGTATATTTTAGAATGCAAAGTTCATAGACAGTTCTATAAAAAATATAAGAGAAAACTTAACCAAACAAAAACAACACCATCCTCTTGAATAGCATTACGGTGCCGTTGTCTCTAGCAAATGTTGAGTGACATAGGTTGTTAATACTGCAACATTTCCATTTTGTGTGTGTCTTTATGGTGAATCCATCTGCTTCGTCATCAAGTCGGATACACGGTCCATTTCTCTAACGAAACTAGTGCACCGTCAACTTCTGAGAAGACCACAATCTGTAATTGAGGATATAATTAACCACTGCCATGGCTGTTGTTTGTCTAGCGTCCCTTCTTTCAAGTTTAATCAAAACCGCAATCAAAGGATAACTTATTATTGTACATTTAGTGAACAGATCAGGTCTGATGCCCTCAAACAAACATGTTTCTCCGTTGATTATGAAATATTGATTGTCAGGTTCATTAATGCCTTTGATTTGCAATTCCGAGCCCAGGTTGGTAGTCACGCGGCCGATCGGATGTCAACTTAGGGTGTTTATATGCTACATCATCTTTATACATTTCAATCAAAATTATTGATTAAAACGTTATTTCCGCCAGAAAACCCGTTCCTATAACTGTTGCACTGGCATTGTCCTTAGTTCGACATTTGCAAACAATTCCTTAAAAAGAAGCATTGCTTAAGAGATGACTTGGCAGCGGTTTATAGTTCTGTCAGTATTCTTGTGGGAATGGTCCCATGCCAAAAGTTCTGACGTTCAAATGGGGCATTGGAGCAGGAACAGACACATCAATCACCTGTATCATGACGTGTACAAGTTCCACAAGCTTGACCGACGTCTAAAGTGTGCAAACCAGTGTCTCACTACACGGTACTGTACGGGGTTCGCCTATGCTACAGGTATACAATCCTGTTACGTGTTTGTACACCGGGAATACGATGCCCTCGTCAATGGTAACAACTTCACCGGACTTCGGCATTATCGGAAACGCATAGGTAAGAAAACGCTGAGTCATGTTAAGGATGAATATTTGATGTTTGATAATGAAAATGCTGGATTATACTTTGTCCTCAGGTTTAACACTCACAAAAATCGATCAGTGCTGAATGTTCTTTAAAATAGTGTGTCATGGTTCCCCTAAATTGTTTAGCCCCACCTTTCAGATGCGACTAAATGGATTGGGTGGTCAGGCTCGCTGAATTGGTTAGTGATGAGAGGTGAAAATGTGCTTAACGTCGCGTCCAAGATTATTGCACTTATATAGTGACGTGCATGCACGTGTGTGTGTGTGTGTGTGTGTGTGTGTGTGTGTGTGTGTGTGTGTGTATGTGTTTGTGTGTGCGTGTGTGTTTGTACTAGTCCAGACTGATGCCCTTTTATAGTGCTAGCACACTGAGATTCCATGCCGCAGTTTAACACGAATACCCCACTCAGACACAGTATACTGACTCCGAGCCGACCAGTCCTTGTTTTAGCCCCTTAGTGCCGAGCGCCAGACAGGGTAACAACAAGTACCATCTTTTAACGTCTTTTGGTATGACGAGGCCGGGGAAAGAACCCCGGACCTTCCGCTATCCGAGCTGACGCTCTACAATTAGACCACGGAGGCGGTCGTATCCCAATTGTGTAGGTCGATGCTCATGATATCAATCACTGGATTGTCTCGTCCAGAATTGATTATTTACAGACCGGCGTCATATAGCTGGAATATTGCTGAGTGCGGCGTTAAACAAAACAACTAGAAAAAAATAATTTCTTTTGAGAAACGCTGACCGAAAAACTGTCTGGAACACAAATGTTTAGCTTTGACATCATATATTTATTTATATGAATTGACTTCAAAGGATTTGCTTCAGTGTATTCAAGCCAATACACTGAAGCATATGTAGGACATGCGATGCATCCTTTTAGGCAAGTAACTTTGTTCGAAATATGCCTATGTCTCACGCGGCTTGGGTTGTATTCTCCCCAGGAAGCTAAGAATGAAAATCGAGTGCACACTGACCCAAAAACCGAGGTAGTAATGTTGCGCTTTGGGCATGCTTTAGGGTGTTGATTGGCTCAGTACTAATACGAACATTATTACTTTTTATGTATCATCACCATCATCATCATCATCATCATCATCATCATGTTAGTATTATTATTGAAACGAACAAGGATGTATCGAACTAGTTTAACCCTCTTGGTGCCAGGGGACAATATATGGTCCCTCACTTTTCACACCCTCATAGTGCCACGGGACCATATGTTGTACCGTGAAAATGTCCCTTTTCAACTGTGAATTAAGATGTCAAACACTTAGTGCGCAAAATCAAAATTAAAACCATCATCAACCTAATAATCTAATCTTTAACATCGTGTAACTCATATTGTATACAGTGCTACGGATTGCGAAATACGGTGAGATTAGTAAAGTGGCTACCGCGCTTCTCGAACTTTTTCGGTCATGTTGAACTTAATGCGAATGACGGCGATTTGTTTATTATGCACCCATGTCACATACACGTTAATATTATAATACCCTGACTGCTCTACTATATATTTTCACATAGAATTCACGAAGGTAACGAATTCTCTACAACGAACTTACGATAAAAAACGTACAACTTTATGGATAACAACTTCTGGTTTATTGCATATAGCGACATGTCCGTGTTTATATACTTACACCATTATCGAGGACCCACTTGCACAAAGCGATCTTAGCGTTAAGATGATCGTAACGCCCATACTTTAACATAGGCTTACGATCGTTCTAGCGCTAAGGTCGCTTTGTGCAAGTACTGGAGTGTAACAACTATGTGAAGAGTGGTATATATGCATGATATGTTCTGATAAGCAGCAGATTAACATTGACAACAACAGGTAACGGATAATTGATAATTGGATGAAGCCAGTAACAGTAACAATAACAAATAGCAGACGGATAATCTTATAGATGATTCCTTTGAGGGGTTGCATGTTGGAGGGAGCGTTGCGGCCATTAGCGTGGAGGATGGAACTAAGGGATGGTGGGAGCTTGTGAAGACTGTATCGATACAAGTTTGGTGCTTACGTTATATGGCGTCAAAGTAACAAGATCCAAAACACTGTCTACAGGAAACCTACCCATTCTGATCACTACATTCACTTCAACACTCTAACCCAACCCCCTACCCCGTCACACACACACACACACACACACACACACACACACACACACACACACACACACACAAATACCAAAACAACAAGGTCTGACACCATCTCTCTGCACATTTACCAAAAGAGCCTAGAACACCTGCTCCAATAAGCTTGACCTTGAACTTAAACACGTGCAGCATGTGTTTTCGCCAATCTCAACCAATATCCCAACAAGTTCGTCGAGAGGACCATCTTAAAGTTGTACTTTTTGTTATTTACTCATCAACTTCTAGAATGCCAAAGAAACAGTTAATGAATTAACGGCTACAGCGAACTAAATTTTCTGTCCTTATATTCACTTGCATTTAGTCTATTTAAAGTGTAAATTCATGTTTCTTTACCATCACATCACGATGTGTGAGTTACCAATCTTTAAGTCAGTGATAATAACGTCGTATCATACATACTTATTAAATGGTTATGTGGAGTATTGTCAGAAATTATTTTTCTCTCTTCACAATATAATGAAATACGGAAGGCCTTTTGACGCCGCTTGTGTTATAACGAGGACACATATTAAGACAATCACCATCAATGACGATTTACATGTTATGTTTTAAGTAACTGAAACGATTTATCTCATCAATGACTTGAAGCAGAGAACGATTTTATAGCAATAATGCCTCTCATTGATATTACTCGGTGTTCGAAATAAAAATTTCTAAAAAAGTAGGGTCGATATAATTTTGAAGACATATTTTTTTTAATGATATCTTGTAAGAACTGACGGTCGGGTGAAATAGAAAAATGAAGTACAGTTTATCATATCAATAACAAATCATAAGTGTTACATGTACTTCACTCGATGTTTAATATGTTAATCACTGGCTCACCTGGTTCAGAATCGATTAATTAGAGACCGCCATCATATAGCTGAAATATTGCTGAGTACGGCGTTAAACAACAAACAAACAAATCCATCGCCACATAGACCAACTTTGATTTTTTTATTTTCGAAAAGACTCGACACGGTCAACAAATACTGTGTCTAAAATTTTAAATTTTATTTTACATTTGTGATATTACGGTCGTTAACGTAGTTAAACGTACACTTGGTGTGTATGTGCACAGTGAACTGCCCCCAGGACTACACGCTGTCGGAGGATGAGGAAGTGTGTCTCAAGGTGTACACCACCTCAACATCCCACGATCAGGCCAACTACCAGTGCTGGAGGGACGGCGGACACCTCTACCTCATGGACAGCGACTACAAGAAGGACACGCTCCAGAAGCACTTCACAAGTAAACGACTTTTCGTTTCATTGTACAGTAAACTACGGTTATAACGAACTCAAAGGGACTACTATTTTTAGTTCGTTATAACCGTAGTTCGTTATAAGCATATATACAGCATAACTACAGCAAATAGTCGGGGCTAAAAAGTAAGTTCGTTATATCCGTCAGTTCGTTATAAGCGTGTTCGTTATAACCGTAGTTTACTGTATATAATAATCCGATAACTTCTTTGAGAGGCATTTAGAAGTTGGAGTACTAAGTAAGAATAAGATATATGGATGAACAACTTCTTTGTTACAGTTAGGAGCGACGTTTCGGTGTAGGTTCACTTGCTTGATAACAATGTTAGAAACTCCACTGAAAAGTCGCTCCTAATTGTAATAAAGAAGTTGTAAATCCATATATGTTTTCCTTAGAAAATAATCCGAATATGAAACTTGAATGTTTTTCGTAATTTATGTGGCTGTGTTCTCACTACCATTTGGATTGGTGATGATGGCGACGACGACAGCGACAGCGACGACGACGGACTGCAATTATTTAGAGTCAAACAACAGCTTTCATAGAGACAAACATGCTTGTATTTATAAACAGGTAATGGGTCAGATAGTTTGGTATCAACACCGCTTTAAAACATATTTACGTTACATTACAGCGTGTCAGCTTGGTGTGGGAGGAAGTTCCAAAGTGATTCCGATCTTAAAAGTACTGTCGGAAATGCTAGAAAAATGCTTTTTCTGGCTTCATGTAATAAATACAAGTCATAGCGCTATGAAAACAGCATATATCAAAAGTAACGCAAATTGACCTAATGTAGCCTATCCTAACTGACATTGCGATTACCCTTAAAATGTACTTTTACAGGAAAAATGATGGTAAACTTAAACAATATTCGTGTGTTGTCATGCATGTATGAAACGGCCTATAACCTGAGGTAATTACCTAACATCTGTCCCGAGGTGGTGACCTCACACCGTCCCGTGCATTCTCACAGATGCAAATGTCACCTGAGTTGGGGGTGGTCTCAAAATATTTTCTGTTATTGTACTTAATTTACATGTGCGTTGATGGGGTAGCAATTTAGGATATGTACTGCATTATATTTGCTTGGAAACATGATGGAATGGTAAAAGCTTTACTAGTTTCTTATTCAGCCGAATTTACTCCATGATGGTCTGAAGTCGACCATGTCATATGTTCCTGTATACGCAGCCTTCGGACTACTCGTGGTTTGCGCGACATTTTCTGATTCCCGGACGTTATATAAACTGACGTTATTCATGACAATGACAATGGCACTGATGTTGTTTAAAATGGGCAGTAACTGACGTTCCAACCAGTCTATGAATACATCACCTTCTATCATTTCCTTATGAAAATAACAAGTTTTCCTTTTCGCCTCGAAAACTAGCACACATCCATCAATAAGCCCCAGATCACATGTTGTGGCGTGCAAAACAGTGATACAATTAACTTCACCTGATGGTACCATGGGCGCTTTGTAGTCAGTGGAATGATTCATCATGATCTGGAAGCCCTGACTGCGATGAATGGTGCGTAGACAATGTGACCTCATCGACAGGATGGAATATTTTCCCCTGAAAACGACTCGGTCATCGCCACGCGCGGTGTATTAAAATCGGCAATATTTAGTGCAGTCCGGGAAACAATTCTCGAAGTGAACTAAGATGTATGAGGATCCTGCAGTGATGTATGAGGGGGCGATAGGTAATCCTGATGCCATCACACTGTCTAACGACTTGGTGAGTAGCAGAATTACAGACATACAGATGTTCAACCTTATTCCAAGGGCTGGACCCGTGAAGATCCGGGGTAGAATAGGTCTTCAGCAACCCATGCTTGCCGTAAAAGGTGACTTTGCTTGTCGTAAGAGGCAACTGACGGGATCGGGTGGTCAGGCTCGCTGACTTGGTTGATACACGTCATTGTATCCCAATTGCGTGGATCAATGCTCATGATGTCAATCACTGGATTGTCTGGTACAGACTCGATTATTTACAGACCGCCGTCATATAGCTGGATTATTGCGGCGTTAAACAAAAAACAGACAAACAAACAAAACAAACTTAGAACAAAATGCGAATACATATGAGTGTAAATCAAACTTTGTTCAATGTATAACCGGTTTTATACTGGCAATGAAATAAACCAATCCCAACAACTTGCTGACAAACATCACAAAGGGATTTCAAGCATTTTACACTGTGTATATCGTACATTGCTACAGTTTAATGTTACCAGCACTGTCGTTTCATCTTTTCTTCTTCCTTGTTTTACTGAAATTATGTCTGCTACTGTTTAGCAAGGATTTATTGAGGGAAGGGTAGCAAACTGATTGAGGCATGAACTCGTCACGCCATGGGAACACGAATCCCCACATTAGTACAATGTGAGAAGTTATATTGTTACTGATATTCCTGAATTATTGTTCACAGCGTACAGCTCTACTCACTCGATTAACGATTCTTTTTGTATCTCTCATTAACACCATTAAAGTATTCCATTTTACAGATTCGATCTACGGAGATTACTTTCTCGGAGCTACACAGAAGGTGGTAAATGGCACAGCCAAGTTTCAGTGGGACAATGGGAGGGCGTTATTGTGGAGCCAAAGCGAAGCGTTCACCGCCAATGACGCCTGCATTGTCACCCGGCCAGCCTCCTTCCTGCTGAGGGCGTCGACATGCGACGTTCTGGCCATGTTTGTGTGTGAAATCTCCTGAATGTGGAACTAGGATGACGTCAATACATAAAGTGACGTGGTGGCGTCTAGGCATAGCTGCTGATGAAAAAAATGTTATATTACACTTGTGTGTTGTAATATTAATGGATAAATATCGGCATTATCTTAATTATTTTCAATTTGGTAAAAGCAGTTTGGTTAGGCTAAGGTTGCATATAGTAAATAATGGGGACACATAGAGTTCAGCACGGAATGTACACCGCATGTGTGGCTGCTTCGTCGCTGCTCCGCCTTTGGATTTCAATGGAGACAGAACCTCGATCTGGACCTCGGATCGTTCTTCACCACTCGTCCCTTTCCGTAACCTGCAAGAAGACTCGTCCCCCATTCGTCATCACTCGCCCCTTTCCGTAACCTGCAAGAAGACTCGTCCCCCATTCGTCACCACTCGCCCCTTTCCGTAACCTGCAAGAAGACTCGTCCCCCTATCGATGAATGATATGTGCGAAAATACGACAAACCAATCAGAATGCGCGTATGCTTTCAAGTTCTTCGTCAAAAAATCCCTCAGAAATAATTTTTGATTTTACATCTGAAAATATACCCAAGACACAGTTCAATGTGTTCAATCATACTGTATAGTTCCGCATATCCCGATGTGCTTTAAATTGTATTTGAAATATATATAATATAGCTGGAAATATATATGAACCATTACGCAACGAGTTGACAATTGTTTTAGGTATGCCCGTTTGCGCTAAGACGGAACCCGGTCGCAAAAATGACCATGAGAGGGGCACGAGTCGGCTTGTCCCGGAATAACACGAGTTGGTCACGAATGGACCTCGGATAAGTACAAAGAGTCCTCTACCTAACGGGTGTGACCCGAGCTCTGTTGATTGCGATCATGTTTCCGAAATATGATTTGAATTTTTGTGGTTGATATAGATTATTTAAAAGAAATTATAAACGCAAACAGTTACAACACCACACAAATGTAGTGAGTGAGTATGGTTTTACGCCGCGTTTAGCAATATTCCAGCAATATCACGACGGGGGACACCAGAAATGGGCTTCGCACATTGTACCCATGTCGGGAATCGAACCCGGGTCTCCGGCGTGACGAGCGAACGCTTTAACTACTTGGCTACCCGACCGCCCCCACACAAATGTAGCCTCAAGTGCGTTGATGATGGTCGTGGTATTCTTGTGTCCACGAATGTTTCGTGTACACTTATTTCACAACCGGTGTAAAATATTTATTTATCATCCAAAACTGGCTCCCACAGGAGATATCGCTTGAATGAGATCAAGCGATATCTACACTGTAGATATCGCTGCAATGAAATTACATCACAATGCTTTGAAGACCATTGTGACGTCACAGGTTACCATGACGTCACAATCAAATGACATCACTAATGGCTCTGCTACTGAAACTGTTAGAACTACTTTTTACACTGAAGACACTGCTAATTATTGTCTACAAATTGAAAAAGTTGGAAGAATGATGTTGGATGATAAATAAAATCTCACCCTCGTGTCTTTTGATATCAAATATATCAACACTCGTTGATAAAAGTGGCAAAAATCCTCGGCAAGCCTCGGAATTTTTCCACTTTTATCAACTCGTTTTGATATATTTGATATCAAAAGACACGAGGGTGAGATTCTCTATGTATACAACAGTTGTTCAAATACTTCTTGATCAGAAACCACTTAATTTACATTTTACACCTGTGACCAATTAATAGTCATGAACAAAAGAGTTCAAAGGTCTTGAATATTCATATGCAAGTATGGTACAGTAATGTACGAAGGACCTGGCCGGTAGTGAACAAGGATCTTCAATAGTGGTTAACAAGGATCGTGAAGAATAGTGAACAAGGACGAAAACAATAGCTTACATGGGTCCTGAACAATAGCTTACATGGGTCCTGAACAATTATAGTTTAGTATTGTTTTTTCCCCCTCAAATTTCAGGCCACACACACAAGCAAGCAAAGTACGCCATTTCAAATTAATTTGAGCCTCGTTAAAATACATTCGTCGCCATAATAGCACACTTGGCACGGATTGTCTCAATACAGACGAGTTAATTGCACAGACTAGTCACGTTAATTACTTATGTTAATTGCCATCAACATCTCCCTATGGTAATTACACATCACGTGCTTACATCAAGGCCCTAACTGTGTCGAGACAGTAGCGTCCCGTGTGAAATCAAGGATGTAATTATCTAACAGCAACGTTGGGATTCTTGCGCATTATTAACCTATGATATATTCCTAAATACTGTTTCGTGTCAAAGGGCGCTGATTCGTGAAATGTACGTACGTTACCCCGTTACACAGCAGATATGATAATGCTTGATGAGCTTGTGGCAACAAATTTAAATTCCTCATGGTCCGATATGTAAGAGTTTTTATCACAAGGCTTATGACAGGAAATCCTATTGATCTGTTATGGCATTTAATCATATGACATTTACATGTCGTTCTATCCATGAGTAACACAGACACTTTTCGTGTTGAATAATGTCATCGCAGATGAGTCCATCAGATACACGAGGCCTATCGTCAAAATCAAAATGGCCGCCAAGAAGCAAGGCGATGGGAAGAGCCACGTTGTTGGGCATGTTTTTAAGGATTATGCTCAGAGAGCTACAGTGCATGGAATCCCGCAAACTGTTGGAGCTACTAAGTACTGCGGGCAAAGGTGAGGGACTGATTTGGACATTCAGCATGGAGAACGTGTATATAATGTGCCATGTTGAAATTCATGATTATCAAAAGAGCTGCTATAATCTTAACAGCCATGAACGGGGTTAAATCTCATTATTGATTCTAGAATACACAACAGCAAGGCTTGTTTGTCCCGCGTGCAGAGGTTAGTTACTTTGATTTTGACATTCAGCTTACAAAGGAATATATATGTTCATGTCCATAGCCTGAGTACAGCAACTAAGAACTGTACTTTTACTTGTCGGAACGAGGTGAGGTGAAATGGGGTTAAACGTCGCGTCCAAGATTATTGCGCTTATATAGCGACGTGCATGTACATGTGTGTTTGTGTGGCTGCTTGTACTCGTCCGGACTGATGCCGATTTATAGTGCTAGCTCACTGAGATACCATGCCGCAGTTTAACATGAATACCCCACTCAGACACAGTAAACTGACTCCGAGCCGACCAGTCCTTGTATTAGCCCCTTAATGCCGAGCGCCAGACAGGGTAACAACAAGTACCATCTTTTAACGTCTTTTGGTATGACGCGGTCGGGGATCGAACCCCGGACCTTCCGCTCTCCGGGCGGACGCTCTACCGGTAGACCACGGAGGCGGTCTAGTCGGAACGAAGTAGCCAGAAGTATTATCTAATTCAATTCATGACACGCATGCATCATCGTCCTGCGAGCGGAGGTGAGGTCATCAGATTTGGACATTTAGTTTGAGATGGTCAGTAAGTGATTCTACCCGTTTTATAGCAAAAGTCCCGCAACACCAAGGCTAGGGTGAGTGAATGAGTGAGTTGGGTTTAACGCCGCTTCTAACAGTATTATATGTACAGTTATATCACGGCGTGTCAGCTTAATGTGAGAGGAAAGCCCGAAGAGATGCAGGTCTCAGACGTTTAACACTTCTGTGAAACCCACGAGCACGGGTATAGTGCTGACAAACCTAGAAACATAATCGGGGCGAACCGGGATTCGAACCCACAATCATAGGTTTCTGGCGTGCCCAAGGGACACAGCGAATCGCGGCGCCTTAGACGACTGGGCCACCCGTGCCCCCTCAAGGCTTGGGTTCACACATTGCACACATGGGGGAATCAAACCTGGGCCTTCGATGTGGTGAATACTTTAACCTCTTGCCTACCCCACCGCTAGGACATTTACTTAGAATAACCAAGACATTTGTATGGTTTAATCTGAACAATTATTTAAAAAATAAACGACGAGTGGGAGTTGTTCATCGTAAATAAAACACTGCAGGGAGAATAGAACATGATCGGCACAGCAAATTTTAATAATGATAGAAATAAATAGAATCCGACCTCGGAAATGTCGGACAAGTCCATTTTACGAACAGGTGGGCGAAGATTGGTATTTCCCGCATATCTCACAATACTCACGTCGATTATCTGTACCCTTTTCTCCTAATACCTATTGTCATATCTCTCCCACCTTTGGATGCAATTGTGAGGGCACTGCGTTTATCTGCGTTGCCGAGCTACGTCTATGGGGAACAACTTACCAGACACTTCCCTCTCGAAAATAACATCGTCCAATATATGGCGTCATCGAATCACCAGTTTCGAATCACCAGAAATTATGTTTTATCGTGAAATATACAATGCTTCTTTCTTCATTGTTCTTTGCGATTTATCGCGTAGCTATTTGTAATAAACTGTTGGATGAAATAAGGCCTAAATGTAGAGAGCGTATTAAGACACCCGTCGTACTAAGTTATCGGGACAGATGTGTTCACATCAGGACAGTCCGAGTGAAGAATGTGATCTTACATTTCAAGGTAAATACATACAATCTAACAACTCATTCCATGTTGTTTTTTATTTATTGATTATGATCACACATTATGGTATCTATTATTATTTCGTAGTCATGTTAATTTTGTCCAAACAATAACAGTGAGGCATTGCGTGAATACATGGTAAAATGGGGGAGTTGGGCGTATGCGAATACGTATGGGGGATTTTTCTAATTCCAATGACCATGTCTTATGGTGTGTCGCTTTTAGCAGCATTACATCCATATCATGGCGGGGAAAAAACAGTAATGATTTTTGAAGATCTTTGAGTCAAAAGAATCAACAAATCTTTATAGGACAAAATAGCCTTTATTCCAAGACACGTGAATACATTGATGTGATTGGAACAAGAGCATCTGTGGGTAATGGGCTTATTACCATTTACCCAATTACATGGAATCGAAGGCGTATTTCGCTATGACGCTATCGACATTATCTTCAAATGTTGTTGTATCGACAAACCTGCCAAAATGCTGCAGAAGTTATAATTCAAATTCACATTTTTGGGCGGTCGGGTAGTCTAGTGGTTAAAGCGTTCACTCGTCACGCAGAAGACCCGGGTTCGATTCCCGACATGGGTACAATGTGTGAAGCCCATTTCTGGTGTCCCCCGCCGTGATATTGCTGGAATATTGCTAAAAGCGGCGTAAAACCATGCTCACTTACTCACTCACTATAATTCAAATTGAAAGCAGGAAAGTTATTTCAATTTTAAAACAATAATATTGGAATATTTAGTTAAATTACCACCCAGGCAATACAAACAAGAGGTATTTACAATACAGATTACAGATTATAATGTTCACGTTGCAACACAAAAGAATTATTATTATTGATCTTGAGTCTCTGGTGAGGATACGAGGTGAGGTGAGGTGAGGTGAGGTGAGGTGAGGTGAGGTGAGGTGAAATGAGGTTTAACGTTGCGTCCAAGATTATTGAACTTATATAGCGACGTGCATGTGTGTGTGTGTGTGTGTGTGTGTGTGTGTGTGTGTGTGTGCTTGTTCTAGTCTGGACTAATGCAGCCCACTGAGATACCATTCCGCAGTTTAACATGAATACCCCACTCAGACACAGTATATTGACTCCGAGCCGAACAGTCCTTGTTTCAGCCCCTAAATGCCAAACGCGAGGCAGGGCAACAACAAGTTTCATCTTTTAACATCTTTGGTATGACGCGTCCGGAGATCGAAACCCTGACCTTCCGCTATCCGGGCGGACGCTCTACCACCAGACCACGGAGGCGGTCGTGAGGATACAAACTGATTCAAACTCAGTTTATGTCTGAATAGTTTTAGATGGAAGTTGACAGCACATTTATATCAACGACATATTAAACGAGGTATGCAGAGGGGTTAACTAACGCTTAGTCTCTGAAAGTTTGACAGACACAAACAACTCCATTTAAATTGAGAAGGGGCCCCAGTGAGAGGGAAGAACCTGGGAAAAATCTAGACTTACTTCATTTAGGGCTATAGTATTACACTAAGGGCTAGGGGAAGGGGAAATAATATGGTTCGGGGACTGTGAGACAGACTCGCAGAGGGGTCACCAGTGTCCAAGTTATCTAAACGTGGCAATACGCTGTGCCGAGTTCCGTCCCTTTGACGTTCAGAATCAGAAGATCGTTGGCGCGAATCACAGATTCGCCCTCATACTGAGTTTGGGGTTCGTCAGCACCGTGCCTATGCTCGGGGGTTTAATCTCCATGTATGTTTCCTTGCATACAATTATATGAAAAATGTTTTATAATATAATTCACAACAGTTTTTATTTCAATTCATCGCAGTTTGTGTTATAACAATATGTCACAGTTTATATTACAATTCACCGCAGTTATTACAATTTATCTTTACAATTTGTTTTACGGCGTTGTTACAATTTAGGTAGAAACAAATGTCCAGGACCTGCATTACTGTATTCAACCGATATCAAGCTGGTTCGCCGTGATATCACTGAAATACTGTTCAAACTGTTACCGATAAAAACCCAATCACCCACGCACACATACAGAGAGGGGAACTCTGCGTGCAGCACTTCAGTCTCGATGTAGAATAGGGCCCCGTGACTATCGAACCAGGCTATTAACATTAAAACCCAACAAGGCAGTCAAATGTACAACCCATCAAGGCAATTAAATGTACAACCCAACGAGGCAATTAAATGTACAATCCAACAAGGCAATTAAATGTACAATCCAACAAGGCAGTCAAATGTACAACCCATCAAGGCAATTAAATGTACAACCCAACGAGGCAATTAAATGTACAATCCAACAAGGCAATTAAATGTAAAATCCAACAAGGCAGTCAAAAGTACAACCCATCAAGGCAATTAAATGTACAACCCAACGAGGCAATTAAATGTACAATCCAACAAGGCAATTAAATGTACAATCCAACAAGTTAATTAAATGTACAATCAAACAAGGCAATTAAATGTACAATCAAACAAGGCAATTAAATGTACAATCCAACAAGGCAATTAAATGTACAATCCAACAAGGCAATTAAATGTATTATCCAACAAGGCAAATTAATGTTCAAACCAACAAGGCAGTTAAATGTACAATCCAACAAGGCAATTAAATGTACAATCTAACAAGGCAAGTAAATGTATTATCCAACAAGGCAATTAAATGTACAATCCAACAAGGCAATTCAATGTACAATCCAACAAGGCAATTAAATGTACAATCCAACAAGGCAATTAAATGTACAATCCAACAAGGCAATTAAATGTACAATCCAACAAGGCAATTAAATGTACAACCAAACAAGGCAATTAAATGTACAATCCAACAAGGCAATTAAATGTATTATCCAACAAGGCAATTAAATGTACAATCCAACAAGGCAATTAAATGTACAATCCAACAAGGCAATTAAATGTACAATCCAACAAGGCAAATTAATGTACAAACCAACAAGGCAGTTAAATTTACAATCCAACAAGGCAATTAAATGTACAACCCAACAAGGCAATTAAATGTACAATCCAACAAGGCAATTAAATGTATTATCCAACAAGGCAATTAAATGTACAATCCAACAAGGCAATTAAATGTACAATCCAACAAGGCAATTAAATGTACAATCCAACAAGGCAATTAAATGTACAAACCAACAAGGCAATTAAATGTACAATCCAACAAGGCAATTAAATGTACTGACATCTGACAACATGAGGACTATTACAGCTATATGATGGCGTCTGTAAATAATCGAGTCTGGACCAGACAATCCAGTGATTGACAACATGAGCATCGATTACAGAATTGGGATACGGCATGCATCAACAAAGTAAGCGAACCTGAGTACCCGATCCCGTTAGTCGTCTCTTACCACAAGCATCGGTTGCTAAATACTAATTTTATTCCGGAGATTTACGGGGTAGTTGACAGACTGGGTGGGTTTGGGGCCTCTTTAAACACAATTATAGCAGTTTCACGACGGGGGATACCACGAGTTGGCTGCACACATTCTACCCTAAAGACTAAGTGATGATGTCCTGTACGTTTTAAAAATTTATTCTATGTTATCTTTTGAATTCAGGTTCATTTGGTTGGTTCTGCTTCTGGGCCTGGCCATATCTCTGAGTATTGTCGTCAGTGTGCAAATGACAGACTACTACAGGTATCCCACTGTCATCAACATGGCGGAACATCCGTTCGAGGAGGCGGACTTCCCTGCCGTTACATTTTGCGACCCTCCTCCACTCAGTCCATTTTCCTTCTTAGACAACGACGACGACGACGACAACGACGCCGTCACGGTCTTCAACCTCTTGCGAACGGGACCACTTGCGGCACATGGATGTCTGCACATGCGTGGTTCAGATGAAGCGCAAAAGGGCCAATGTTTGCTAACTCACAGCCAGGACAACGTGCGGATGAAGCTGATAAAATGTGGTTGGAACAAGCTGCAGTCCAAAGGAGTATGCGATGAGCTTATCTTCCCCACCACAACCACTGAAGGATCGTGTTTAACCTTAAATTCGTCGCGAAACGGTTCCAGCAGCGTCGGACAGGCCTTGACGTTTCATGTAATCATCGAACTTACCAGTACTGTTTCCAGCATTGGCCAGAGGGATGGCATTCAGGTAACTAACTAACTAACTGCCTTGAGTGAGTGAGTATGGTTTTACGCCGCTTTTAGCAATATTCCAGCAATATCACGGCGGGGGACACCAGAAATGGGCTTCACACATTGTACCCATGTCGGGAATCGAACCCGGGTCTTCGGCGTGACGAGCGAACGCTTTAACCACTTGGCTACCCGACCGCCCCCTAACTGCCTTGAACATATACAGGGGACATCCGATAAACTGATGTTTTAAATCTAAATCATCTTAATATTTAAATAATTTAGCTGGGCATGCGACAGTGTAATAATAGTGATCATGGATATTTTAAATAAGGGTTCACCTTTTGAATTCTCTGTCTTTATCAGCCGGGGTCAAATGAATCTATCAGATAGCGGGATATTGATGATTTCGATACAAGGGGTATTATGTTTAGGCCATGTCTGTGGAACAATTAAACCCCAAGAATAATGTCGTACTCGTTAAACTCTTTGGGTTAAACATACGAGCACGGGTATTGTGCCGACAGACCAAGGATCATAGTCGAGGCGTTACGCGGACCCTGGCACTTGAAGGAGTGTTAGTCTACATAGGCCACTGAGCTGTCCGCACTGACTCGCCTCGCATCATGTTAGGTAGAAATCAATCTTAAGTAATATAAACATATATTGTTTTTTCAACTTTTCAAATATTTTAAGTTGGTACTTTCTCAACAACGAGCCATACACCGAAAACAATTGTAAAATGTTTAATGTTCAAACCAATTCAATTAACATCAGATCTTAGTGCTCGCTACCGTTACGGCAGAACGACCTTTCGCGATCTTTGACCGACCAATGAAATGACAAACAAGAAGTCGACTTTAGCCAATCCGAAAGCTAATGTTATAAACTGTCTTGAAATGTAATAACACTGCGGTAAAAGGTTATACTGTGGTGAATTGGAATAAAAACTGAGGTAAGGCAGTTTTCTCGAGCTTTACGGCGACTTCAATTCAAGACAACGCTTTGAGGTTTCGCGATTCAAAATTTAAAAATTCTGGAATGTCTAATAGACTGCCGAGATTGTATGGCAGTACTTCCATGAACTATGGAATGTCTCTTCCGTTTCAAATGTTTATCCCTTTGAGGCGCGAGATAGACGATGATTTTAACGGAATCAGTCGTACAGCCCGTGTAACTGTCGTTTGGAATACCCCGTGTGAACCTTTTCGAACTCGCATGGTTAGAAAACACATTCCGACGGTCACTTTCCCGATCTGGTAAGCGACACTCTGATTGGTCCGATGAAAGGTCTTTCTGACGTGGGATGTCCTCAGATCTTTGTTTAGAGGTACCGGGAACTAAGATCTGATTTTAATGAGATTGTGTTCAAACTACATTATCCACAACTTTGATAACACTTAGCTGGGTCTAAAGTTCAATTTCTTGAATTTTCTTAATTTAGAAACACGTTGAAAAGCACAAAACATCAATATACCTGATAACATCGCCCATGTTTATTGACAATCAGACCATCACTTGCAACCGTTAGACGACCTCGGGTCAACTCGGCTTGTTTCTCCATCTGACAAAGGGCCGATGGAGCTGATTTCCGACGGTGTATTGTTATAAGTACTAGTGTCGTGATCTATTGTAGTGCATGTTAAGCCATAGAGAGAGTGGGAGAGCGAATCTTCCCTTACACCGTAATAAACACAAGTCCAGTCATAAGAGAACGGCCTGTAAATACCCAATCTTTTGACTGGCATAATGTTGATAGCATATTACCAACCTCGTCGGGGGTCATATAAACTGCTATTTCTCGATTTTTTCCTAAATTCAATTTTGCAATAAACTGAATAGTCCTTTATTAATCCCGTGAAGATCCGGGGTAGAATAGGTCTTCAAAATCCCATTCTTGCCGTAAAAGGCGACTATGCTTGTTGTAAGAGGCGACTAATGGGATCGGGTGGTCAGGCTCGCTGACTTGGTTGATGCATGTCATCGATCCCAATTGCGTGGATCGATGCTCATGATATCAATCACTGGATTGTCTGGTCCAGACTCGATTATTTACAGACCGCCGACATATAGCTGGAATATTGCTGAGTGCGGCGTTAAACAACAAACCAACCAACCAACCAAGTCCTTAATTAAAAGATTTCAGAGACATTCCTCTTTACTGGACTGACTTAATATGTGGATTAGCTTAATAGCGTAATATCTCCACCATGAATCAGCTGGGTTATATCCAACTGACGAGTTGCCGATACATACTGTTATCACAATATCAGTCACATCCAGTGTGTTGACGTCGGCCATTATATGCATTAGAAGTGTGGCCACTTGTATACATAATGTATGTATGAATGTGATCGTTATGGTAATGCTGATTATTCCTTGATCACTCTTATTAAATACATATCATATGCCCTATAAGCTCAGCTGATGTATTTTCTATCGTCCATAAGTGTACTTTTCATAACTATCCTGTTTAGTTTTATCCGCGTTATCGTCTCTCAGTTGATTTGTTTTGATTTAAAATAATATTAACGTTTAAGGAGAATGCTATCTCTGACAAACGAATTCGCTTCAGACACAAAAATAGCCACAATCAAATGCTAAATAAAGACTTCAAGTTGTTTGGTTTTTTTTTCAACGACGGATGTCCGGGAGGGAATAGGTCATTCAGTACCCATGCTCGTCAGAATAAGTCATGCGCATAAATATATGCTTCAACTAAATACAATTCACAAACATGTTATATAGACTTTGCATAATTACTGTCAATATCTATGTCTATCATTAACACACACCCATAACATTCATTTTTACACTGGACACATTTTTCCCACAAACGGAACATTTAGTATGATAATTGTTTCGTTTTTCGTCCGGATAAGCTGGAATATAGCCAAAAATGGCGCAAAAACGGACTTACTCACTCACTTGTCCGGATAAAAGGGGGCACTATCGTAATAATTTAATTCTAAAGATCTAATAGAATTGTTTACTAGCGTGATGTTGACCATGAACAGCCTTTCTGAGGTGAGGTGAAATTGGGTTTAACGTCGCGTCCAAGATTATTGCACTTATATAGCGACGTGCATGCACGTGTATGTGTGTGTGTGGCTGCTTGTACTAGTCCGGACTGATGCCGATTTATAGTGCTAGCTCACTGAGATACCATGCCGCTGTTTAACATGAATACCCAACTCAGACACAGTATACTGACTCCGAGCCGACCCGTCCTTGTTTTAGCCCCTTAATGCCGAGCGCCAGACAGGGTAACAACAAGTACCATCTTTTAACGTCTTTTTGTATGACGCGGCCCGGGATCGAACCCTGGACCTTCCGATCTCCGGGCGGACGCTCTACCACAAGACCACGGAGGCGGTCACAGCCTTTCTGAAACTGTACACTGAGATTATATGAGATTGCAATGGACACTGATCTGTTGATCGGGCTAAAAATAGTTCTTATTTGTGGAACATGTTCTAATGTGATGTCTGCCTCTCGACATTGTAGTACTATGATATAATGAAAATGAACTGAAATGAACTGCTGATTCTTGGTAGAAAGGATAAACAGCATCATATTAATTATTATTTTTAGATTGCCCTTCATCCAAACAACGAATATCCCTTCCCTGACGTCAAGGAGGCACACTTTATTCCAGCGAACTCCAGTTGCATCGTGAAGTTTGAAAAAACTACGGTAAACTCATTCTTTTTTTAAGTGTATTGCAACATTGTATTGATTCCTGTTTAATGCCGCACGCAGCAATATTCCAGCTTTATGACGGCAATCGAGCGATTTACCGCACGCAGCAATATTCCGGCTTTATGACGGCGATTGAGCGATTTTCCGCACGCATCAATATTCAAGCTTTATGACGGCGATTGAGCGATTTACCACACGCAGCACTATTCCAGCTTTATGACGGCGATTGAGCGATTTGCCGTACGCAGCAATATTCCAGCTCTATGACGGCGATTGAGCGATTTGCCGCCCGCAGCAATATTCCAGCTTTACGACGGCGTCCTGTAAATGATCGAGTCTGGACCAGACAAGTCAGCAAGCCTGACCACCCGATCCCGTTAGTCGCCTTTTATTAGAGACCCAGCTTGTAATAGAGGAAATATCGATACGTTTTACAGTTCCTAGTGGTGATCAATCGGCAGCAATTTTTTTATGAATCGATATGTAGGCTATCGATGTATTCATGCGCGTTTTTTGTCTGAAAAGGCTTAATATATTTAAAATGGGTTTCTGTAGCAGAAAAGAAACCTCCTTTTAACGAATCAGAATCAGGATGTCTTCAGTGTCATGATAGAATATAGTTCAAAGGGATAGAATTATCTATCTGTAATATGATAATGTGCCGAACGACCGGCATTATCAATCACATTCGTCACCACTCGCCCCTTTCCCTAACCTACAAGAAGACTCTTCCCCCTATCGATGAATGTTATGTGCGAAAATACGACAAACCAATCAAAATGCGCGTATGCTTTCAAGTTCTTCGTCAAAAAATCCCTCAGAAATAATTTTCGATTTTACATATGTCTTGCATCTAAAAATATACCCAAGACACAGTTAAATGTGTTCAATCATACTGTATAATTCCGCCTATCCCGATGTGCTTTAAATTGCATTTAAAATATATGATATATGGGGAAATATATATGAACCATTAGGCAACGAGTTGACAATTGTTTTAGGTATGCCCGTTTGCCCTAAGACGGAACCCGGTCGCAAAAATGGCCATGAGAGGGGCACGAGTCGCTATTCGGCTTGTCCCGGAATAACACGAGTTGGTCACGAATGTATCACTCACGAACGTAAACAAACATGGCGTTTGACGTCCGGCACGGCTCTGACGACTCGTGTGATTGAGGGGGCGCTTCACGTGACAGCTGATGAAATACTGGTGGATGATGTTCTTCGTGTTGCAGTTGATGGTGGACCTCGGATAATGGCCCGAGAAATAGCGTTACCGTATACATGTTTGTATATGAAAAGGACTGAACACAGTTCAAGTTATGACAACCCATTGAGAACTCTACAGAGAATGTACGAGCCTTGATGTCGTTGAGCGGTTGAAGCGTTTGCTCACAATTGACACATTGAAGATCGTATTCCCCATACTATATCCGATAATTGTACTATTTGAAGCTCGCTGTTGGTGTCAACAGCCGTTATATAGCTCGGTTGTAGCTAAAAGAAGCATTAATAAGTCTGACTGCAATAAATTAAAAATATTGTTTACAGTGTATGCGTTCTGAGATATTACTATCTGAATGATATTTTTATGAGGGGGCACGGGTGGCCCAGTCGTCTAAGGCGCCGCAAGTTGCGTGCAGAGTTGCGTTCCTTCGGCACGCCAGAAACCTATTACTGTGGGTTCGAATCCCGGTTCGCCCCGATTATATTTCTAGGTTTGTCAGCACCATACCCGTGTTCGTGGGCAATCTTATTAAAATCAGACCTAATTTCTCGCTACCGCTAAACAAAGATCTGAGGACATCCCATTACAGGTCACGTCAGACTTTGGCGCAAACTTTGACCGACTAATAGAATGACCAATCAGAAGGCAGCTTTCTCGTGCTTTACGGCACTAATTTCAAATTGGCGACTACGCTTCGAAACATATTTTGACAAATTCTCGATTACAAATTTGAAACCTGAACAAATGAACATTCTAGAATGGCTTATCGATGTTCTAGATTGTATGGATTCAGTCGTTAACTATCGTTGGAAATACCCCGTGTTAAAGTTTTCAAGGTTGTATGATAAGAAATCACATTCCGACTGTTACTTTCATGATCTGGTAAGCGACGCTGTCATTGGTCGGATGAAAGGTCGTTCTGGCGTGACCCCTTATGGGATGTCTTCAGATCTTTGTTTAGCGGTAGCGAGAACTAAGGTCTGATTTTAATGAGATTGGTTCGTGGGTTTCACCGAACTGGTAAACGTCTGAGCCTGCTTCACTTCGGGCTTTCCTCCCACATTAAGCTGACACGCCATGATATAACTGGAATAATGTTAAAAGCGGCGTTATACCCAACTCACTCACTCACCATTTTTATGAAGGTTTGAGGGAAGGAGGTCGATGACGTACCTTTTTCTTCTTGAAGTTAAACTTGTAAATTTTCTGGAAAAGAGTCATCATAAGTTTTAAGAAGCCACACTGAGATTTATGACTTCTCTATTTCCAAAGATCTTAAGCCAATCCTAAATTTAGTACGTAGATAATTATAGACAGCGAATCTGAATGAATTATTGTTTTGTGTGATATCGTTGTTTCATTTTAACACGATTGTAATTTGATTTGGAGAAATAGATTGATTCCATCAATGAAATTATATATGCTCCTCTATAGAGACACTCCCTGGGACCGCCGTATAAGGACATGCTTGGGGGCAGGTGCTTGCCTGACCAGCAGGCTGACCAGTGGTCCATGTACCGGTACCCGCACTACAGCCAGAAGGCGTGCCAGCGAGAGTGTCTCGTCAACTACACGTCGGCCCAGTGTGGCTGCAGATTCTACTTGGATAGAGGTTTGTTTGTTTGTTTGTTTGTTTGTTTGTTTTACGCCGCACTCAGCAATATTTCAACTATATGACGGCGGTCTGTAAGTAATCGGGTGTGGGCCAGACAATCCAGTGATTTACATCATGAGCCTCGATCCAAGTAATTGGGATACGATGACATGCGTCAACCAAGTCAGCGAGCCTGACCACCCGATCTCGTTAGTCGCCTCTTAGGACAAGTACGGGTTGCTGAAGACCTATTCAAACCCAGATCTTCACGGGGCATTAACTATTCCGGTACTTTGGGGGGAGGACAGCGATTGTGCAGTTGAAATTTTGCATTCATTTTCAGTATCAGTATCGGAGTCATAGCTTCGGACAAAACGGTTGCTTACAGAATAGTAGCTGAACAATTAGGATCCGACTTTTCTACGGATAGACCACAAATGCACCAATCGCCAATGTTAATAGATGGACGTTGAAATTAGAGTTTGTCTTTGTTATCAATCAATCAGAAACGCTGATAATCCATCAACGTTCAGGACTACAAAGCATACATGGAACAAGCATGTGTTATGATAACTTGTGTATAATTGTCTCCTTGTCTAATAACGCAGGATGCGAGGATCTGTGCTCAGCTAGTCAGACATCGCACTGCTTGGAAAACAGCGGACAGGGTGAGTACTTAACTACAGTATCTTAGTACGATTCACGGGGCTTACTGTTATAACATATAAATTTACATGTTTTCTACAGCTTATCATGAAGTACAACCATTGACAATAAATACAAAATGTATGATGTAAATTTGTGAAATGAAAGTGGAAGGCCTGGATCTTTTTCCATATGGTGCAATGGGGGCGGTCGGATGGCCTAGTGGTTAAAGCGTTCGCTCTCCACGGGTTCAATTCCCGACATGGGTACAATGTGTGAAGCCCATTTCTGGTGTCCGCCGCCGTGATATTGCTGGGATATTGCTAAAAGCGGCGTAAAACCATACTCACTCACTCACTCACTCACATGGTTCGTTGATGTCTGTCCATATTGTCTATTGGTGTTTCAGATTTCTATGGTAACGAGAGCTCTCGGTGTGACTGTCCGTCACGGTGTACACGTGTGGAGTACGAGACATATGTATCGTGTGCCCCACTAACGTAATTAGCTTTTTATCATAATTTAACACACGAAAAGTGGTGTCTTTTTTAAAAGTGCTAATACCTTACATGTTTACTGATGTCTTTGACATAAAGTTAAGAATTTGTAAACGATATTCAATAGCTCTTGGAGCTTGCCAAGAGAAGATATCAAACTCTTGGTCCATGAACGTTGTCACAATGTAGACACGTGCTGCACGAAGCAATTCTACTCCCATGTGTTGTTTCAAACTGATTCATCACACGAATGTCGAGGTTCTGATATAACGAAGATGTGTAATAGTTCCGAAAGGACCTGGCAGTTATCACATTTCCGTGGAATTCCGTCGGGTCCGATGATGCGTTTGTTTGTTTGTTTGTTTGCTTGTTTGTCTGTTTATTGTTTAACGCTGCACTCAGCAATATTCCAGCTATATGACGGCGGTCTGTACATAATCGATCCTGGACCAAAAAATCCAGTGATTGACATCATGAGCATCGATCCACGCCGTTGGGATACGATGACATGCACGAACCATGTCAGCGAGCCTGACCACCCGATCCTCCCGATATCAGTAGCGTAGGGAATATGTAGCATAGGGACGACAAACAGTACAAGCTTAAAGGGCAAGTTCACACGGAAATTAACCTATTTTTCTTGTACTTTTTCCACATTAAAAGTGTTAACCTAGAAGTGTCATAGACAAAAATATAAAAATATCACAATTAATTAACATATTTTTCGCATTAAAACGATTTATATTTTTCACATTTACCAAGTGTTCTATTTCCACAACAAAAACACCATGGCTTATGCCCCTTGCAATATGACGTCATTGGTGCCAATTGATAAACATTATGACGTCATCATGCTTTGTTAGAGCCGCTTCACGTGGTGTAGGTCTAGGTGTGTGATTCTAGCGTCTCAGATGCCAGCCAGCATAGTGTTATGCTGAGTCACCACTGCGCCGGAGTGTGTCGTAGGCCATGTTGTTTTACCGCAAACTGGTACTTGATATCTTTTGCGTTGAGAATAGACAGGGACCCAGTTGAATTGGCACCAATTACGTCATAATCTAAGGGGGATAACTCAGGCCTGTTTAGCTCGAAAAACGAAGGCCTCATAACGGCATAGCATTTTCACACTATTGTGAGCTTCCTACTTTCACTGTGAAAAAAATGAGCGTATATTTTCAAACAGAGATACTAATTAATTCTAAAATTGCGTTTTGTTTAGAAAAAGAAAGAAAGTGATTTTTGCGTGTACACTTCCCCTTTAATGGTGTCAATATTACTATTAACAGTTCAATCCACGCCTCTGCTCCCATGGTGCATCTGACCTTCCTACAGTCGGGCCCGCTGAAGCTGGAGATCGAGCAGATACCTGTATACTCTGTGGAGACCATACTGGGTGAGAACCATCTTCGACACACAGGGGAATTGCTTTATGGTAGACATGTGGAGAACATTTCCAAATTTGGCGCATCAATGACAAAAATTATGTCCGATGCAATTCTCTATGTGACTTGTACCATATGTTCCCGAATCTTTTCAGTTGAACAATTGACTTGCCCGTGCATGTGTTTGTGACGATGGGACAGAGTGCGTTTACCTTTTCGCGAACACCTGGTATCATTACTATTTGATAGTGATTCGTAAAACACATGCTCATGATATAGTCGGAATCGTAGAATCGACTCTGCTTTATGCAGATATTTCTACTGGATATGGAAAGGGTTTTGTCGCTAATTTATCATACACGGCAATGTTAGGTGTTTCATAAAAAAAATGAAATATGGTTTCTTATAATTATCACCTAAAGCAATTAACATTTTTAATAGGATCTTTAACATGGTGAGTTGGGTTTAACGCCGCTATAACAGTACAAATGTTACACAACTGTGTGTCACTGTAAATCGGGCGGTCGGGTGGCCTAGTGGTTACAGCGTTCGCTCGTCACGCTGAAGACCCGGGTTCAATTTCCGACATGGGTACAATGTGTGAAGTCTATTTGTGGTGTCCCCCACTGTTATTGTGGGCGACCAAAAGTGACACGGGTGAGCGATTACCACTTATGGTGCTGGAAAGAATCATAAGCAGAGTTCCGTCCCTTAGGTTTGTCAGCACCATAGGCGAGGCGAACGCCAAAGACCTATATTACTTCAGTCTTTCCTCCCACATCAAGCTGACACGCCGTGACATAACTGGAATATGTCTTCAGCAACCCATGCTTGCCGTAGAAGGCGACTATGCTTGTCGTAAGAGGCGACTAACGGGATCGGGTGGTCAGGCTCGCTGATTTGGTTGATGCATGTCATCGTATCCCAATTGCGTAGATCGATGCTCATGATATCAATCACTGGATTGTCTGGTCCAGACTCTATTATTTACAGACCGCCGTCATATAGCTGAAATATTGCTGAGTGCGGCGTTAAACAAATCAAACAAACATAATATAATTGGGATAGTGTTCAAAGCGGCGTTAAACCACGCTCACACACATATCTATTTGCAGCAAACATCGGAGGCCAGATCGGGCTGTTCATGGGCTTTAGCATCGTCTCCATGGTAGAGATCCTGGAGGTCGTCATCATCATGGTGATGACCTTGATCACGCCCAAGGTCACACAAAAGGGAGGAAAGGAAGACGGAGAAGAGGAAATCTTAGGGGATGAAGAGAAGCCCGAAGCACATCCTGAATATGATGACCACAAAGTATGAATAGCACGTGGGTGATAAACATATGCTACAGTTGTCATGATGACGGTCAAATCAAGACTGTATACCTGTAAGAGGCTGTCAAGGAAAGAACGATGAACGACATCTACACACATGAATGTGTATTCATACGTCACTTAGACATATATAATCAGAGAGAAATATCTGTAGTTGACAAAACAGTATTTGCAACTGTTGCCATTGCCCTCAATGCAGCTCATTTGCTTGATAAAGCAAGGAAAACGATGGTTATATATTCGTTTTATGAACTAACTCTTTTATTATTCGCTATTTACCTTTGTAATAATTAACCTTGTGGGACAGGTCACGTGATGAAAGTATCCCTGGGTGCATTATAAGCATGTTAAAAACTGTCTTCATTCCTGTTAGCTAGTGTATGATTGTAGGTTCGAATCCCGGTTCGCCCCAATTATGTTTCTTGGTTTGTCAGCACCATTCCTGTGCTCGTGGGTTTCACCGAAGTGGTAAACGTCTGAGACCTGCATCATTTCGGGCTTTCCTCCCACATTAAGCTGACACGCCGTGATATAACTGGAATACTGTTAAAAGCGGCGTTAAACCCAACTCACTCACTCACTATTAGCTAGTGAGGGATGTAAGCGTTACTCGTTAAGTCTACTGCAACAGTCTTCGAGTATGGACTTCATCCTTAAAACAGATGGGGCAGGTTTTACATTTTCAACCAAATCGAAGAGGAGTGTTTTAACCATCTTATAAACCGTCTGAATGCAAGAAATACCAGAAAGAATAAGAACACATCGGGATACCTTCTTGTGTAACAATACAGTAGTCGTGGTATAATACGAATTTAATGACAGCGGGCGAGAGAAAACCACGTGCAGCATGCAGACAATTGAAGTCATGACGTGTATTAGATTGAACACCCTTTTATCACCCGCCCCGGTGGTTTTGTGGGGAAACATTGCGTTGCAATACTAAACATAATATGTTAGGTTGCAGGATTCATTTCAAGGAATTTTCATGCCGAAACAATTATCAACCGTAGATGCATATTAAAAGGTGGTTTCTACAATTTAAATGTAAAACCTAGGTCTTACGATTCAACTGTAAAACCTAGGTCTTACAATTCAACTGTAAAAGCTAGGTCTTACATTTCAACTGTAAAACCTAGGTCTTACAATTCAACTGTAAAACCTAGGTCTTCCAATTCAACTGTAAAATCTAGGTCTTACATTTCAACTGTAAAACCTCACGGTCTACACTTGAAAAGTAGTACCTCTCATAAGATTACTAGAGATAGCAAGATACCTACAATACTGCAGGCGAAAGTGGCTGTAGGCTTATGAATCGATTACCCTTAAACAAAGGTGGGTGTATGTGGCGACACAAACTATCGTTAATCAGTCGCATTCTTATTACCGTCTTCAATGATGGAACTCTTATGCAATATCCTTTGAACGATTTACTGCACATGTATGAATACTTTTTATTTAGTTCTCCAATGCAGTATTACTGTATAGTTGCAATGGAGATTGTATCAATAATACGCCCTATGATATAAAACATTGTATGAAACCCTTCACTGTGATGTCGTTGATTTGTCCATCCTACCGGATGTGGTTTTGTCGGTAGCAGATGACTGCATCAATTTTTGACAACATACAAAAACATGTTTCTCATCACCAACCAACCCTTAACATCGTCCTGACGTTTTTTCGCGTTTTGTTTTTCATGCTTAATTCGGTTCTGGTTCCGGTTCCGCGTTTTTAGAGTTATTTTCCATTCCGAAGTTGCACTTTTTGATGTAGATAGTCAACGCCGCTTTGAACGGTATTACAAGTATTAAATTGCATGCCAGCTCAATGTGAGAGAAAAGTCCGATGTGATGCAGGTCTCAGACGTTTGCCACTTTAGTAAAACCCACGATCACCCACGATCACGACTGATGGTGCAAGATCACAGCATAACAATTCATAGTTCTACTGTGCCAGTGTTAAATTTTCACAAAAAGATGCTGCCAGACTGGCCACTCCAATGGTTAGCATTGACAGTTTGCACTTGATATGATAATAGAATCTGAATGAATGAAAAAACATTTTATTCTAACATAACATTTGACTCTATTATCTACTATTAAACCTATCTATCTATCTATGAATGAATGAAAAAACATTTTATTCTAACATAACATTTGACTCTATTATCTACTATTAAACCTATCTATCTATCTATCTATGAATGAATGAAAAAACATTTTATTTTAACATAACATTTGACTCTATTATCTACTATAAAACCATACTTGTACACCTACATACAAATAACCAGCTATATCGCGGAATAAAATAGTTCCCCAAAAAGAGAGATGACATGTGAGTGAGTATTGATTTTAGCAATATTCCAGCAATATCACGGCGTGGGACACCAGAAATGGACTTCACACATTGTATCCATGTGGGAAATCGAACCCGAGTCTTCAGCGTGACAAGCGAACACTTTAACCACTAGGCTACCCCACCGCCACGGTCTGTTAAGAACTACCCCAGTAAGTCAGTCACAATGACAGTACATGTTAATCGCCAGCTATACCCTATAAAATCACAGATATAAACTCTTTCAGTTTCATGACATCAGTTCCGGCTTGGAAAATGCATGCTCAGTGTAGAACAACTTTAAAACAGAAAGTCCTGTGCCTAACAACTTACGGGTGAATGATATCACATCAAGTTTGGGAACATTCTGTACGACTCTTATTACATTTTTAAACAAGAGGCCCACAAAGCCTGTATAGCTGGATATTTACGCAATCACGAGTGAGTGAGTGAGTTGGGTTAAACGCCGCTTTTAACAGTATTCCAGTTATATCGCGGCGTGTCAGATTAATGTGGGAGGAGAGCCCGAAGTGATGCAGGTCTCAGACGTTTACCACTTCGGTGAAACCCACGAGCACGGGTATGGTGCTGACAAACCTAGAAACATAATCGGGATTAGAACCCACAATCATAGGTTTCTGGCGTGCCCAAGGGACGGAGCTCTGCACAGCGAGTCGCGGCGCCTTAGACGACTGGGCCACCCGTGCCCCCTACGCAACCATGACAAAATAAACATTTGCATTGTACATGTATATAATACTGCAAATATTTCGTAATTTTGACTCTGTCAGCATTTAAAAGGGGTGGATGGAAAATCTGACAGCATGAACGTGTACTTTTCTAGAAACAAATGTAGAATAAAGATCTGAACCGTTTACATGTTATGATACAGGATCTAAGTTTCCAGAGGCAAGGCTGGACCCAAGGGCGAATCCTATTGGCATAAATGTATTACTCTCTTCATAACAAACAAATGTGTACAATGTATCTGTTTATCATAGGATGGGGATAATATCGGTTTGCATGTTATGGTAAAGGTTCTAACTTGTTGATTGTTGGTTTGTTGTTTAACGCTGCACTCAGCAATATTCCAGCTATATGACAGCGGTCTGTAAATAATCGAGTCTGGACCAGACAATCCAGTGATTGATATCATGAGCATAGATCCACGCAATTGGGATCGATGATATGCTTCAACGAGCCTGACCACCCGATCCTGTTAGTCGCCTCTTACGACAAGCATAGTCGCCTTTTACGACAAGAATGGGTTGCTGAAGACCTATTCTAGCCCAGATCTTCACGGGTCGGGTTCTAAACTCCTTTAGGAGTGCCGTACAGATGAACAGAAGGGCCAGTCCTGGTAGAATATGTGTATTTGTTTTTAGGAGTGCCGGACAGATGAACAGTAGGGCCAGTCCTGGTAGCATATGTGTATGCGTCTTGTTATACTAAGCAATTACATGTATATGGTAATAGGGTGGGGATCTCAACTGTTTTCACCAAAGAACTTAATCCCCAGGGGTGTATGATTAGAAATCACATTCCGACTGTCACTTTCATAATCTGGTAAGCGACGCTCTGATTGGTCGGATGAAAGGTCGTTCTGACGTGACCCCTAATGGGATGTCTTCAGATCTTTGTTTAGCGGTAACGAGAACTAAGGTCTGATTTTAATGGGATTGCATCAGTTTCAACAAATTCAGAAGGAAGGGGAACGTGACACATGGAAACTTGTAACAGTATGCATCAAATGTTTACCATTTCCTCGGGCCTCTGAGGCCTGAGCAAACCTTCATACCAAGGAACATTCGTCACCACTCGCCCCTTTCCGTAACCTGCAAGAAGACTCGTCCCCCTATCGATGAATGTTATGTGCGAAAATACGACAAACCAATCAGAATGCGCGTATGATTTCAAGTTCTTCGTCAAAGAATCCCTCAGAAATAATTTCTGTTTTTACGTATGTCTTGCATCTAAAAATATACCCAAAACACAGTTAAATGTGTTCAATCATACTGCATAATTCCGCATGTCCTGATGTGCTTTTAATTACGTCAGAAATATAAACGATATATGGGGAAATATATGTGAACCATTGCGCAACGAGTTGACAATTGTTTTATGTATGCCCGTTTGCGCTAAGACGGAACCCGGTTGCAAAAATGGCCACGATAGGGGCACGAGTCGGTATTCGGCTTGTCCCGGAATAATACGAGTTGGTCACGAATGACCAAGGAAGGGTTCAGGAACTTGCGCCAGATGCATGTTGACATGAAAACCTAGTTGCACCAGATAAAATAAAGTTGTACTCTTGTCCCATAAATTCATCAAAGATGAAACATTGATGAATAAACTGAATAAGTACATCTCAGATGTCTGATGACATAAGATATTTCCATAACTATTGCTGTAAAACGTAATAGGATGTGCACATAATCTTAAAGTTCCCACAGTTGGAGGATGCCAAGCCCAAGAGTGAGTGAGTGAGTTGGGTTTAACGCCGCTTTTAACAGTATTCCAGTTATATCACGGCGTGTCAGCTTAATGTGGGAGGAAAGCCCGAAGTGATGCAGGTCTCAGACGTTTACCACTTCGGTGAAACCCACGAGCACGGGTATGGTGCTGACAAACCTAGAAACATAATCGGGATGAACCAGGATTAGAACCCAGAATCATAGGTTTCTGGCGTGTCCAGGGGACGCAGTGAATCGCGGCGCCTTAGACGACTGGGACACCCGTGCCCCCGCCAAGCCCAAGAAATAACACAGGGATTGGTGAAGCAGTATGTTACATTAAACTTCGTGTTCAAAGATTGTTGTTAAGGGAAATAGTAAGTGATAGTCAGTCACAAATTTGAACTTTTTTTAACATGCATTTGGTGCAAGCTTTAAGCCCTAATAATTTTTAGTCAATCCATGAAATAAATGGACAGATTTTTCAGTTAATTTGTAAAATATTTAGACATTAAATAAGTGGCCTGAGTGAATCACATTTTACATATTGACTGTAACATATACACGCCTACAAAAGAGTTGGTCTATCTCACATGGAACAGCTTCCCAACCAAAAAAATGATTCTGTACCGACCAACGTCGTAAGGAAATATGGGTGTATTCCGTCTGATTTAGTAAACATACACATGTAAACACTTACTGTTGACAAATCCGCTTTACAAGATAACAGTGATTAATCAATCAACAAATTTTTGGTTAATCCTTTGATGGGTGGGTTTTTTTTAACTCAGGTGATCATTCCTCTCCTGCCACGCTGTACCGGCCCTGTATAATCACCCCACTTCAAGCCTGGATTTAGATTGAAAAATTACCCAAGACACAAGAAAGGCCAAATGGCAATCTGTCAGGTAATCTGAGCGATGCTACCACTAATTATCACTGCAATACATTCATTAACTGAGCATCAAGTGAATGACGACAAACAGACAGATGAAGGGTTATACCAGAAAACATGGATGACAACAAGGGAGTAGCAATTGTATATCGGGTGGTCAGGTTCGCTGACTTGGTTGATGCATGTCATCGTATCCCAATTGCGTGGATCGATGCTCATGATATCAATCACTGGACTGTCTGGTCCAAACTCGATTATTTACAGACCGCCGTCATATAGCTGAAATATTGCTAAATGCAGCGTTAAACAACAAACAAACAAACAAACAGACAAGCAAATCAATCATATGTAACACTCTTTTAATAATTTCTCAAAAGAGGTGGTGGGTTAGCCTAGTGGTTAAAGCGTTTGCTTGTCACACCGAAGACCCGGGTTCGATTCCTCACATGTGAACAATGTGTGAAGCCCATTTCTGGTGTCCCCCGCCGTGATATTGCTGGAATATTGCTAAAAGCGGCGTAAAACCCTACTCACTCACTCACTCAAATGTCACCATTGGGTTTCCATCCATTCTTGTGTACCTTTAATGTTGTACAGACACATCTGATAAGCATGTCTGAGAAGAAATTCAATGTTTCCTCTATGATGTTTTCATAATTTGTGAAAAGTTGAAAGTTCAAATCAGTCTTGTTTTTTATATGCATGTATTATTTGGACATGTTGAAACCAGGTATGCCATCCATACTTTCACAAATCCACATATCACTGATCTACGGAAGCCTTTTAGGACCATACTGATCATTTGATTTTGGCCTTGTCTGCGTGTTATTTTTGTTGTTACTATTATTAGTTACATGGTCCT